ACATCACTTGGGAAGCTGTGCAAACAAATTTTGTAGAAAGTGTAAAGTACGTTAATTTCTATATACTTGATAAAAAGCAACTTCCAAATTCGTGACTCGAAATTCGCGGTTTCGGAAATCTAGAGGCAATAAATGGGGGAGAGGCTCTGCCCTTTTGCGTTTTAATACACGATTTACATGTTATACATGCATGTGTGCGCGAGGTTAAAACATTTAATTACACCATAGGCAACATCGATAATGGAACAGAAATTCAAGAAATACGAAGTGATGAATACGTTCAAGAGAAGATCCATGAAATACAAGATTGTCCGTATGTTAATAAAAACCCGTTTATTTTAAAATTTTGACTTACCATAGAAATTTGAAACCGTATTTACCCACAGTAAAATTCTTGTTGCCAACACTAGAACTGAAAACCAGAAAAAAATTAAAAGAAGTGAATGCGGAGTAACAGAACAAGGCGGAGCGTTCGACAAGCTGAAGTGCTTTCGTGGAAATAAGTATGTATGCAGATACGGTTCGAAATGTGTGGCGACCCAAATGTGCGATTACTGGCATTTTCACCTTGCAAAACTTGTAGACAGTACATTACTACTGTCTACTACTACTACTGTCTACAATACTACAGTTGAAGGTGTTCTTTAGGTGGTAATAATACCCTTTTGTAAATTTGTGGGATATAAGCAGCAACTTCTATAGCACCTGTTCTATTGGTACTATTAATTACATTTTGCTTTTATTTAGCAAAACTCCTATTGAAATACTGCATACAATTCTACTTGGGCCTGTTAAGTATATGCTATCCAACACAATTCAATCCCTACCTCAGCAATTGAAAAACCAGCTCCATGCAAAGATTCAAGCACTTGACATGAGTGCATTTTCAGCCACAATCAGGGGAAACATCACAAGAAACTATGGCTCATATGTTGGAAGAGATTACAAATTGTGGATGCAAGTTGCTGTCTTTGTTCTGCAAGATATCATTCCATTTGAACAACTCTTGGTCTGGGAATTGTTGAGCGAGGTATAACACCAGATACATAATACATGTGCTGAAAGGAATATAGGAAACATAACATATTAACAATTAACATATGCTTTTGGAATTAATTGTTAGACCTTGGTGACTGTCAATGCACTTTTGAGCAGCAGATAACTCTTCATAATCCTGTGAAAATGGAATCCAAAAATTCTCTATCTCAAGATCTTTATACCTATTCTATGTTCAATATTCATTGTAGATATTCATCTTAGCATATTCAAGTGAATTTGACAAGAGGAACTCAGAAGCAGCAAAGCAGCTAGTCCAAAAATTTACAAATGCAGTGGCAAGAACCTACCCTGAATTTCAAAAGAAGGCTAAAGTACATCTCCTGCTACATCTTGTTGATGACATTGAAAGCCTGGGGCCAGCAAATGGTTTCTGCACTGAAAGGTAAAACCACACATTAACGACAAGATTGAAAAAACACAGTATACCTATATAATTATATAAACATGTTTACAAACTTTTAATACACCAAATAAATCGATATTTTAGATTTGAGGCCTTCAATCATTTCATCAGAGGATTAAATATAAACAGCAACAGGCATGCATCAAGCTTAGATATATGTACAAAATTTGCTAAGATGGAAAGGCTTCGCTTTGTCCTAAGAGGAGGAACATGGGGAAAAGACCACAGGTGACTATATACTTGTAACAAACAAGTTTGCTATAGGCAATATATATAGTTGATGTGTTTGCAAGAATTGCTTCAGCTTGTCCATGTGCCTTGCATAATATTAATTCCATGTACTCTATATATAACATATTAGCTTACAAGCATCAGAATGCATCAAAAACTTGGCAAAAGAACCAAAGCTGCAACAATTTTTGGACAACATCCCAAAGAAGGAGAGCATGGAAGATAAAGCAATTTATCACCCTGGATGCTTAAGAAAAGTAAACAATTTGTAGTTTATTTCATATTGTAGTTTAGTTCATATATAAATTATAATTTTGTAACAGAAATGAAGTTAAAACTTTAAAACATCAATAATTGACTGCCTCTTTGTTTTAGGGAAACTATGACAAAGGGAAACTGCAGACAAAGCCTCTGAGTGAGTGCCTAGAACAAGTCGCAATTGAAGCAGCTGGTCTCCCTTATGATACAGAAGTCACATCCTTTAAAGCTGTTCTTAGTGAGAGGCAAACTCTTATTAATTCAGGTTCAGCCATTGTATATGTGGATGACCAGCATCAGGTACATATAAGATTAATACAACATGAGTATATGAAACAAATGTTAGAGGCCTCAAATTCATTGTTACAAGGTTAACACATTAGTAACACCTGCAGTTATTATATAGTACCACAATAAGGCTTTACTGATGCATTCAAGATAATTGAACATATATTATAGGAATAACCAAATGTATTTACGTTCTCAAACTCTACAATTGACTTAATTCTTTGTAATTACATTCCGATCACCTTATATATACTTTTAATTTTATTATAACCATTGTTTTCCTGTTCAGTATAAGCATTGATATCTCATGCGTGGATGTCTCACAACAATCATATTTATATAATCTTAATTAAGTAACAATGAACTCACCAAAAATGTGCGCAAAAAATATTAATCAATCACTGCTTATTTCAGCATCATCTTGGTATTTTCAAAAAAGGAATCAAGATCAAAAATCCTGACCAAGAAGTTGTGGCAGTTGAGGAAGTGAGATTCGCCAAAGATGAATTGGAAAACCAAATATTCGGAGCATTTCAGTGTCCCAAGGTTGAACTAACTGGGCAAGTGAAATTGTTGTCACCTTGAAGTGTGTTATTGAACAAGTATGCCTCATCCATGATTGCTCTGCAGGAAGATGTTGTTATAAAGAGAGTCAAACAACTGTGACAGTTGAAAGGGAGGCTGTGAGTAAAGCAACATATAAGTTTGTTCACAACACAAATCATTGTTACTACTTGGTGAACAAGTTTTATCTTGGGGAATCCCTTAAATATTTCAATATTTCATGAATCTATGTATGAACATATATGTAATCATAATATAGAATTATTACTACAGGGTGTGGTTTCAAATAATGTATTGCAGTAATTAGTAATTTGACAGTTAAGCCGCTAATGCATCCTCAAATTAATATTTTTTCATCTCTCAATTCAGACTCATATGAGTATAAGACCTTTGTTTTTATGGAGCTGTTTAATACTTTATTAAAGCAGTTAAAAACTGTTTTATATAAACTACTTTGAAGTTTGAATCGCAGGAGCTTTTATACACGGGAAGAAATATTTATTTGTCAAGCAGTTAGAGACTTAGAGTTAATTTACTTTGCTTATCTAAAAAGTTTAATATAAAGTCGTACCTTTGTATTTATTAAATTAAAATGAATACATCATTCCATTGGTGAAACGGATACTTTTCATTTTCGATCCGTCACAGGCATGGCGGCGCAGTGAACTGTAGCGGCGGCGGCGAACACCCCCCGGCCAAAGATTGAAAAAACAATGTTGTTGGAACAACATATTTTGAGCTGTTAAAACATCATTCAACATGCTTGTCATCATGCTGTTTTACGCAATGTTGAATCATCATTGTTTACGATTGTTGACATCGTAAATCACGCATGATATCAGATTGATTTGGGCTGTTGCAACAACTTGTTCAGGTCTTGTTCATCCATCAACCGTGAACAACATCGTTTTAACACGCACGAACAATATTGTTAACAAGCTTGTTGACAGGGTGCAGCACAACATTGTTCAATCCTGTCGAGAACAACCGCGAACAAGTTGATATCAACGTGCATCAACGCGTGCGTTTTTAGGCGTGTATGCAACTATGCGAACAATTTTGCATTTGCATTTCGCATTCCCGGGAATGAGCTTCCTTGCACAGCGCGCCGCGTCCCGTGAAAGTCTATTATGTTTAGGATATACACTGCATTAGATTTCAGGATGCAAATGATATAATCGTATAGCAATTTAAAAATGTATATATACATTCGCTCAAACCAGGAAGTACTGATAGCATGTACTGTATACTTGCGGTCTAAACTGAACAAGGTTAAAATGAATTTCAGCGAAAATCATTTTTAAATTATGCTAATGATTAAAATGTTAGAAGTATTGCCTTTGCGTGCAGGTCCATCATGCATTGAAAGTAATGCTTTTAAGACATTGTCACTTTTATTGTATGCTTTTTATTCGCACTTGAACGCATGTTAAATTTAGAAGGATTAAAAATATTTTTCGTTGGCAATTTTTTCACATCACGTAAGCAACGTTAATAATTGTGCTTTTAAAGCTGATCCATCACATCACGCACGTAGCTACATCTAAAAGCTAATTTAAACTATTTAAAAAAATACACCACGCATAATTTTATAAAACAAGGCGCTGTTTGCATGGCTAACCTAAAGACGATTAGACGAAGCCGGCCATTATCTTTACTATAGGCTTGTCTGTATTAATTGATTAAACGACAGAGTTGTCGTTTGTATGCAATTTTAAGCAACATCTGTTAGCAAAAATAGTGCATTCACTTATTTCTGGCTAAAAGCATGAAAATTTGCATGTGAGATGAGACGGTAGAAACTGATGATAATGATGTAGGACATGGAACCGTACATCTTTTGAATAGCAAAAATTGTCATTGTGTAGGGTGTAATTGTTCTATACTGTGGCAAATTAATTCTAAAATTAGAGTAGAAAAACGTTCAATCGACTATTAGGGACCACTGTGGGAAATAATTATAATTTAGAAGGAGTTATGCATTTTTCTAAATGAGGAATTTAGTAACTTAGGACATTAGTAACCTCACGTGAATTACTTACTTTCGAGTTCCCATACTACAAAAGTAATTATCAATACATAAAGTTCCTCAGGAACTAAAATCCAGTTTTGTCATGGGAGAAATACTTTAAGATTTTAATACCGTCATTTTTATTATAACATTATTACAATAAAACTCCTTTTAATTTAATTTTAGCTCGCGAATTTCTCACTCAAGCAGGTCATGCGTGTCAGATGGCGCGTCCAAGTTACGCATTGCCACCAGTACCATTTATCTAAAACGTCCAAGAGCGATTTTCAAATGAGATTTTGGCATTTGATATAAAAACATGTATCTGTTCCCTCTATGTGTCGTTATTGTTTCAACGGTAAAAGCAAAGAAAAATTGTGAACTAGGAAGCCAAGAAATAACATCACAACCATTCCGTTTGGCCTATTGTGGTAAGTTACAAGTAAATTTAACAACTAAACAAATGGAATATGTGAATCTTTACCGCATAATTATATAGCCTGTTTTAAAAAATTTCTTGTACACCACTAGTCCGCTAGTAGCCACTTGAACTCTGAAATTAGATTTTTCATTTGTAAGATGAAAGTTGATTGTAAATCTCAATCCAATGGATAATAGATTCCTGTTAGTATAATATGTCACTGGCTAACCTGATGTTTCACAAGGTTTTATTGTCTCGCTTTGTGGAGCTAATCAAATTCGTGCGATATTAAGCATTTGACGTTATTACACGAAGGGTCTTTTGTCTTCATTTATCTAGTGTGAATCATTTCAGTAATGTCTTACAGCTTTCAAAAAAATGTATTTAAACTCGGTTAACTCATCTATAACACTGATCATTGAATTCCAGATGTTTCACCATTAAAAAAGAACATCTTATCTGAATCATGGACAGGAAGCAGGATGCATTGTGCTTCTCTTTGTTTAAAAACACGTTTCTGTGTGTCATACAATTACAAAAAAACCTACGACGAACACGAAATTAACTGCCAGTTAAGTTTTGCTGACACACACGAGCTTGAAGAAGAAACGAAGCTCACAAAGGGATACTATAACAAGAATAGCAAAGATCATCATTGGATGTATTACAAGGCTGTTGGAGATAGAACGGTATTGTTACTTCCTTGGTGAACAACCTGCATGATACCGGTTGTATGAAGGCCGGATGTAGCGCTATCCACCTGGTAGTACGTTTTTCAACCGTTCTTTGGAACCACAATTATTAAAGAGAATCCTCGATTTAGAGATACTAAGATTTAATCAAAGTTCTAGCAAACATCGAAGGATTTCGAAGCGATTGCAAAAAAAACTATCCGGCTTTTATACAACTGGCTTCAACTGCTCGTTTGATGAAATTAAAGTTTAATCACACAATGTCGGAAATGACAGGGTGGCGTATGTAAATTTAATTCGATAATTAACCTGCCAAAAAGTAACAGACATGCAGCCTCCATTTTTGTGTGAATTTTAAAGAATAATTACCAAACTGTCAACAAAAATATATATAATACATAATGCAAAAGCCATTGTAAAAATAATACTTTAATGTATGCAAGAAAAGGCAATCAAATAAGATTATCACCCCTTCGAAAACTGAGCGTACTAAGATTGGTAAACCTACAATTGCAGAATAATTATTGTAAAATAGAGAAAATGTAGTTTTTCAAATTTTGTATCCTTTACACAGTAAATTAATTTACCAATGTCAGCGTAAATATATTTTGTATAATTCAAGTAAATAATTATACCCAAGTGGCTATAAAAACGTGAATTTTTGCTTCTAGGAACCTTGCAACAAAGTAGATGATTGCTTGAATGGAGGGAAGATGGTCAGAGATCCAGTGAAGCCGTTTAGGTGCGTTTGTCACGAGGATTTCGAAGGAGAACGTTGTCAAACTAGAAAAGGTGATCATTGTAATGTGACTAATACACAAGAAGGAATTTTGTTTTGAACTAATATAATCGCCGTGTTTATTTAAAACACTTTGCACGTCCCTCACAAGAGCCAAGCTGTGAGAGCTTTGCAAAGATGAACAAAGCTAAAGTTTGTTGTGTGATTTAACAAAAATTCAAGTTCTCGCTGGAGTTTAAATAGTAGGGTTTTTGGACCTGCTTTAACTAGAATTTTATAAGTTGCAACATAAAAATCTTTCTTAAAATTTAGATTGGACAAAACACATCTCTTGACATACGATTCCATTCGGTGAATAAATTCCATTTTGGCCAATGGATTTTCGATGTCTTTACAATGCAATCCGATGTAAATATCGATATGTTTAAATAAATTACTATGATTATTTCAGATGTTAACGAATGCCAAATAGATTCCCCATGTCATCCTAACGCAACCTGCAATAACACAGTTGGATCTTATACCTGCACATGTATGTCTGGATATAGTGGAGATGGATTGAACTGCACTGGTGAGGCTACATAAAGAGTGGCTTTTGATATGTGTAAAACTGAAAAACACAATTAAAATCATAATCAATATCAAAATGTTATTTTTAGACGTAAACGAATGCCAAACAGGTTCTCCATGCCATTCCAACGCTAACTGCAATAACACAGATGGATCTTATAACTGCACATGTGCTTCTGGATATAGTGGAGATGGATCAAGCTGCACTGGTGAGCTTACTGACATGATTAATTTTAGATATCGTTATGAAAAGAGGCCTAAAAAAAGGGTACATGCATTAAAATAACGAACTATTATTTTTAGACGTGGACGAATGCCAAACAGGTTCACCATGCCATTCCAACGCTAACTGCAATAACACAGTTGGATCTTATACATGCACATGTGCTTCTGGATATAGTGGAGATGGATCAAGCTGCACTGGTGAGGCTACTGACATGATTAATTTTAGATATCGTGCTGAAAAGAGGCCCAAAAAAGGGTACATGCATTAAAATAACGAACTATTATTTTTAGACGTGGACGAATGCCAAACAGGTTCACCATGCCATTCCAACGCTAACTGCAATAACACAATTGGATCTTATACCTGTGCATGTGCTTCTGGATATAGTGGAGATGGATCAAGCTGCACTGGTGAGGCTACTGACATGATTAATTTTAGATATCGTGCTGAAAAGAGGCCCAAAAAAAGGGTACATGCATTAAAGTAACGAACTATTATTTTTAGACGTAGACGAATGCCAAACAGGTTCACCATGCCATTCTAACGCTAACTGCAATAACACAGATGGATCTTATAACTGCGCATGTGCTTCTGGATATAGTGGAGATGGATTGAGCTGCACTGGTGAGGCTACTGACATAATTTAGTTGTTGAAATCACAAAGAAGCACACAGTAAATGGATAAAAATAATGAACTATTATTTTTAGACGTAGACGAATGCCAAACAGGTTCACCATGCCATTCCAACGCTAACTGCAATAACACAGTTGGATCTTATAACTGCACATGTGCTTCTGGATATAGTGGAGATGGATCAAGCTGCACTGGTGAGGCTACTGACATAATTTATTGAACATAATTGAAATCAAAACGAAACATATCTAAGGAATGAATAAATTGATTATCTTAAACGTGGACGAATGCCAAACAGGTTCACCATGCCATTCCAACGCTAACTGCAATAACACAGTTGGATCTTATACCTGCACATGTGCTTCTGGATATAGTGGAGATGGATCAAGCTGCACTGGTGAGGCTACTGACATAATTAATTTTAGATATCGTTATGAAAAGAGGCCCAAAAAAAGGGTACATGCATTAAAATAACGAACTATTATTTTTAGACGTGGACGAATGCAAAACAGGTTCACCATGCCATTCCAACGCTAACTGCAATAACACAGTTGGATCTTATACATGCACATGTTCTTCTGGATATAGTGGAGATGGATCAAGCTGCACTGGTGAGGCTACTGACATGATTAATTTTAGATATCGTGCTGAAAAGAGGCCCAAAAAAAGGGTACTTGCATTAAAATAACGAACTATTATTTTTAGACGTGGACGAATGCCAAACAGGTTCACCATGCCATTCTAACGCTAACTGCAATAACACAGTTGGATCTTATGCCTGCTCGTGTATCTCTGGATATAGTGGAGATGGATTGCTGAGCTGCACTGGTGAGGCTACTGGAATAATTTATTTAATTTCATTGAAATCAAAACGAAGCACGCAGTATGTGTATAAATTGCATTGATAAACCTAACTATTATTTTAGACGTGGACGAATGCCAAACAGATTCTCCATGCCCTTCCAACGCTAACTGCAATAACACAGTTGGATCTTATAACTGCATATGTATGTCTGGATATAGTGGAGATGGATTTAGCTGCACTGGTAAGGCTACTGACATTATTTATTGAATTTTATTGAAATCAAAACGAAGCATATAAAATGAATGTATAAATTGATTAACCTAACTATTATTTCAGACGTGGACGAATGCCAAACAGGTTCACCATGCCATTCCAACGCCAACTGCTATAACACAGTTGGATCTTATACATGCACATGTGCTTATGGATATAGTGGAGATGGATTGAACTGCATTGGTAAGGCTACTGACATGATTAATTTTAGATATCGTGATGAAAAAGAAAGCCAAAAAAAGGGTACATGCATTAAAATAGCGAACTATTATTTTTAGACGTAGACGAATGCCAAACAGGTTCACCATGCCATTCTAACGCTAACTGCAATAACAAAGATGGATCTTATAACTGCGCATGTGTTTCTGGATATAGTGGAGATGGATTGAGCTGCACTGGTGAGGCTACTGACATAATTTAGTTGTTGAAATCACAAAGAAGCACACAGTAAATGGATAAAAATAACGAACTATTCTTTTTAGACGTAGACGAATGCCAAACAGGTTCACCATGCCATTCCAACGCTAACTGCAATAACACAGTTGGATCTTATAACTGCACATGTGCTTCTGGATATAGTGGAGATGGATCAAGCTGCACTGGTGAGGCTACTGACATGATTAATTTTAGATATCGTGCTGAAAAGAGGCCCAAAAAAAGGGTACATGCATTAAAATAACGAACTATTATTTTTAGACGTGGACGAATGCCAAACAGGTTCACCATGCCATTCCAACGCTAACTGCAATAACACAGTTGGATCTTATACCTGTACATGTGCTTCTGGATATATTGGAGATGGATCAAGCTGCACTGGTGAGGCTACAGACATAATTTATTGAATTTTATTGAAATAAAAATGAAGCATATATATAATGAATGTATAAATTGATTAACCTAACTGTTATTTTAGATGTTGACGAATGCGTAACATCTCCCCCATGCCATTCCAACGCTAACTGCAATAACACAGTTGGATCTTATACATGCACATGTGCTTCTGGATATAGTGGAGATGGATCAAGCTGCACTGGTGAGGCTACTGACATGATTAATTTTAGATATCGTGCTGAAAAGAGGCCCAAAAAAAGGGTACATGCATTAAAATAACGAACTATTATTTTTAGACGTGGACGAATGCCAAACAGGTTCACCATGCCATTCTAACGCTAACTGCAATAACACAGTTGGATCTTATACCTGTACATGTGCTTCTGGATATAGTAGAGATGGATCAAGCTGCACTGGTGAGGCTACTGACATGATTAATTTTAGATATCGTGCTGAAAAGAGGCCCAAAAAAAGGGTACATGCATTAAAATAACGAACTATTTTTTAGACGTGGACGATTGCCAAACAGGTTCACCATGCCATTCTAACGCTAACTGCAATAACACAGTTGGATCTTATACCTGTACATGTGCTTCTGGATATAGCGGAGATGGATCAAGCTGCACTGGTGAGGCTACTGACATAATTAATTTTAGATATCGTTATGAAAAGAGGCCCAAAAAAAAGTTACATGCATTAAAATAACGAACTATTATTTTTAGACGTGGACGAATGCCAAACAGGTTCACCATGCCATTCCAACGCTAACTGCAATAACACAGTTGGATCTTATACCTGTACATGTGCTTCTGGATATATTGGAGATGGATCAAGCTGCACTGGTGAGGCTACTGACATAATTTATTGAATTTTATTGAAATAAAAATGAAGCATATATATAATGAATGTATAAATTGATTAACCTAACTGTTATTTTAGATGTTGACGAATGCGTAACATCTCCTCCATGCCATTCCAACGCTAACTGCTACAACACAGTTGGATCTTATACCTGCACATGTGATTCAGGATATAGTGGAGATGGATTGAACTGCACTGGTAAGGCTACTAACATGATTCATTTTAGATATCGTGATGAAAAAGAAGCTCAGAAAAAAGGTATATGCATTAAAATAACTAACTATTATTTTTAAACGTAAACGAATGCCTACCAAATTCTCCATGCCATTCCAACGCTCACTGCAATAACACAGTTGGATCTTATACCTGCACACGTGCTTCTGGATATAGTGGAGATGGATTTAGCTGCATTGATAAGACAATTATTATATATATTAGTTTTAAATATGTGTTAACAAAAAAGATTTATTTTATTCTATATTAATTGCAAGGAATAGTAAAAAAAAACTTTCATACTCACATTGAATTCTCCACTGTCACAATTGACGTGGAATTTTTCTAAATGGTTTATTTGCAGTTGTTTGTGGTACAGGGGGCGAGTTAGTGAAGGCGAATGCCCCAAAATATTCACCGATACTGTGGAATTTGTTTTTAGGTTTTTCCAAATTTAATAGGAAGACAGAGGGGGAAAATTTTTAGGTTATGCTTTAGAGAGTAAAGAATGAAAGGGCTAAATATCCTAAATTCTATAGTTAAACGTTGGGCAAAGGCAGAACTAATTACTGAGGCCTTTAATACTCAAGCTGAAAATGTCATGCATATGAGAACCAGGCCTTTGGTAGAATGTTTATGTCTTGCAATGTATATATGTGCGGATTCATGTTATGTAAAGCTGTTGTGATTCTATGCAAGTTTAAACCTTTCATGGCATTGTACGCTTGTATTGCAGGCAGCTTGCACTCTTGCTCAACACTGAAAGAAAAACATGCAGAATTGTCCAGTGGTGTCTACTCCATTAATCCCCGCAGTCATGAATCGCCACCGTTTTCGGTTTACTGTAATATGAGTGCAAAACAAGGTGTTGGCGTCACTGAGTTTGGGCATGATAGCGAGACCAGAACGAAAGTGAGTGGCTTTGAGGATCCGGGATCTTACAGAAGAATTGTTACTTATTACAATAAAATGAGTGATATTGTGGCTCTGATTAATATGTCGAAAAATTGCGAACAGTTTATAAGATATGAATGTTATTACAATTTTCTGAGGTATGACTCCTATGGGTGGTGGGTATCTCGTCAGGGTGAAAAGATGAATTACTGGGATGGAGCTGCAATTGATAGCGGCAAGTGCGCGTGTGGCATGACAAATAGCTGTGAGAGCAACAAAACGTGCAACTGCGACGCAATTTTGTTGGAATTACGGGAGGATAGTGGATACCTGACGGACAGGAAAACATTACCTGTTACAGAATTAAGATTTGGAGACACAGGAGCTTATAATGAATATGGTTTTCACACTCTGGGAAAACTTCGTTGTTGGGGTTGATTATCAAAAAGGCGGGAATATCATTACTTTTGCTGTTATGTGCAGCATAAGAAATTCTTTCCTCGAAAAAAGGTTATTTAGTGATATAGTAGAAAAAAGAAATATGCATTGAGATATACTCCATGAAATATGTAAAAGAATCCTCAATATATGTACCTAATAATTATGAAATCAACTCAATTCTTCATAGCTAATTATATTATACGGCATCATAGAAAATTCTGGCCTCGTATTGGTCATTATTACTCTATAAAATCAGGCTGTAAATTTAAAGAAAATGTTGCACCTAAAACAACGAATTAAGAAGCGAAAAAAATAGCGTACAATTAGTTTCGGAATAAAAAAAATGTTATAATTTTTTGGCATAAGATTAAATGCTTAATTATATCGTCGTAAAATTGTCAATATATTTGTTTATGTTTGTAAAATGTATTACATATCTACAACGTTTATTTTTAAATAATCACCCTTTTTTAATTTTTGAAAACCATTATTCACCTCGCTCGATCTTCCCGATTAATTGTTAACCTATGTTGCAACCTCGTTCCCAGGGCCTTTTGCGACTTGGATATGGAGGGGTTGGGGTTGGGGTTGGGGGTGAGAGAAGAGAAGAGGAAAGGCCCTGGGATCGGCCGTTTAAAATACCCACATTTCGTGGATATATTTAATATTAGGCATAATTCATCTTTTAATTTTGCCTAGTATTTTCAAAATGGTCGCGTCACGTAGAGCGGATAACATTGTCGCATTAAAGCATATTGTTGGTCGCATGACCTACCATATTAGTGCGGCACATTAGTCGATCATGTTATTTCGAATTTTTAGTGCGCAAAACCAAACATAAATAAGTTGCAACGAACCAGAGAAAACCTTAAAATACCTCATATGAATAACAGTATTTCACAGCAAGTCAATTTTTTGTTTTTTGTCAAAGAAAATTTATTTATTATTACAAAGTTAAAGTCATTTGTCGGAAGACAGAAATCATAGTTTTTCAGTTATATCGAGTTCAATGGTTATAGAGCTAGGGATAACGAAAAAGCGTCATGCACGAAACCTCAAAAGGAAAGTTAAGTATCAAATGGTGAATGTATGGTGGTAAAGAGCAAAGGGCTGTCGCCATGGCTCCTCTGCCCTTGCCTAAAGACGGTTAAAGCGCACGATGATTTTCAGTAACACATATTTCAAACAAGGACACCAAGAACTGATATATAGGCAGGAATTTTATTAAAAGATTGTCATTGGCTAGCGTACAAAGCTGTTAATTGACATTACATCTTTATGAAACTAATAATTGTCTACAGAATGATGACATGAAAGTATCGTGCATGCAAGCCGCATCAGCCGGTGCATGAAGTTTTCAACATGGAGGAGGAATGTCTCCAACCACTTCGTAAGTATCACGATCAACTCTTTTGACAACAAGCTTAACGACGTCTAGAAAGTCCCCAAACGTTTTTACTCGGAACAGATGCTTTTTAGGCCTAGTCGCGATGTCCACTATCTCGTTGATGCCATTAGTGAAGTCACCTACTGCAACGACATAGATCTGAACACCGGCACTTTTCAAATCTTCAGCATTTGGTATTGTCTGATCTTGATTTTCGTTCGACTGCCCGTCTGTTACTAGAAACACCATCTTTTTCGAAGGAAAATGGCTTCCTGGAAGAAATTCAGTGAGAAATAATTAGTTTTTCAAAAATACATGTACATAAAAGTCTACTCACCAAGAATTACCGTCAGTGGCGTAACTAGAACGATCCTTATGGGGGGAAAGGGGGGTGAATATTCATATAACCAGTTCAGCCCTACGGATTTCTTTCCTGAGTGCTTTAGTTTACAATAGACATCCGTCGGGCAGAACTGAATATATGAATATTCACCCTCTCTCCCTCTAATTATACTTTTAGTTACGCCATGTTTGATATTGCTAAAATGCTGCGAATAACCACCGTTATGAGGTATAAAATTTTCCTGCCACTTCATTATTAAATTTGCTGGCAAATGTGAGATTTGCGTGTTTTTATCAACTGTCTTATAAAATATGTCATTTAAAAATACCATTTAATATGTTCTCTTTTTCAAAAAGAGCTGCTACATCGTAATCTTACCAGAATTTGGATCAAAGATCAAATCATAAGCTTTACTAAGCCCGTCAGCAGTATTCGTGTCTCCACCCTCGTACGAAAATTCATCCATTTTCTTAGCAGCTTCAGAGGCAGACAAAAATTGAAAATTCACAGTTGCCGTTGTTGAATACACAACACCAGCATAGTAATTCTCATAATTATCACGACTAATCATCATCATATCTTTCAGAGCTGTTCTTCCTTTATCAAATTCGCAATTTCCGACTGATCCAGATGAATCCAAAATCACCACTGTATCTTCCACTTTAGTACGGGTACGTCTTTTGGCGACGTCACTCGCAGGTATTTCAAAGAAATTTTCTATCAACTTTTCAGCTGTTTCTTCCTTCGTTGGAATTGCCTTGAAGCCTAAAATGCAAGAAACATATCACGTATGTTCGCTATAGGTAAATTGCTGTACACGTTAACAATTCAACAATTCTCTTCGCAGCTTTATGCAGGAGCAGGCAATAATTGTAAATTCTCAGTTACCGTTGTTGAATACACAACACCGATGTAGTAATTCTCATAATTATCACGACGACTAATCATCATCAGATCTGTCAGAGCTGCCTATCGCAAATTCGCAATTCCCAGCTATCCCTAAAAGGCTGACAACTTACTGTCATAATACTCTTGTGTTTTAACTGGTGCTGCGGTGGTTGATTCTTGCCAAAATGGAACTCGTGACTCCACGTTTGGAGTGAGCAGAAATAAACAACTCACCACAAATAGGGAAATGATAAACGACATCGTGATGTTCTGATTTGTGCTTATGAAATGCTGTGTTTTATAGGGATTGCATGTATACCGGAAATCAAATGGTCGCTTTCGCAAGAGCTTTCAACTGAAGTTCAAAGTGCAGTTATGAAAGAAACGGTAGGTACAAACTGGTATTTTCAAATTAAACACCAGCCAATCATTCTAAGTGGAAGAGTGTTTTGATTCAGTTATCGACCGTGAAATGACAGCATTATGCCTTGTGATGGGTATAACGTGTGAAAGCAATTAAAAGTTATCCTAAGACTTACAAATGGAGGAAATATGTCGCTCAATACCTTTAGCAGCGCATGAAATGATTTCATGGAATTCAATAAAAATCGGGCACGTGATATTATTTCGTATACTGGCTGTTAACCTTCTGTTCTACCTTCCAGGTCCACAATTGGAAACAGGATAATAGATTTAGAAATGCTCTGCATAGAGAAATGATAAAGATTCACATATGGAAGAAACGGTCGGTTCACGCGTTTTTTGTTCAACTTTTTTTTGTCAATCATGTGAAGTGGAAGATTAAAGTCGGCTAAAGTCTGGTTCTGATGTGTCATGGACGGTCGTTGATAAATATTGTTGGTGGTCAGTGACGAAGAAAATGTATTCAAAAAACAAAGTACTTCATTTATCAGTGATCACCAACAATGGGCAAAGTTGACCGTTGGTGATATATATATCAGAACCAGGCCTAATAAGTGGACATGATAATTTGAATTTACAAATTACTACGTGGCACGAGTCTATTAATTTAACCAACCTATTTTGTTCCGCAGCAAGTAGGTAGATTCTGGGACCAATTGGCAAGTTAAACCAGTGGCTTAACTAGAGCGATGATACGGGGGGTGTTTACCTTTGTAAGTGCAATAGCTCACAATAGAAATCCGTCGGGCAATACTGAATATATGAGCAATCCCCCCCCGAATATCGTTATATATAGTTACGCCACTGAGTTGAACAGATTAATTTTTGTAAACTTGCTACATGTCGTTACTATAGTAATGTTTGCTGGTGATGAATATGCTCTTTCGCCTAAGCAAACGTATGAAAAGTGAATTCTAACGACTTAGGCATGGCGCTGGTAAATGTCGTCGCATTGTTGTCTCGTGGAATGTGAAAGTTATTGAGATGATAATAAATGGTAAGGAGTCCAATTATGAAAGAGACGGTATTTTTTTTGTTTAACGGCATTCAATCAGGTGAAGTGGGATATGGCTTTAGTTATTGATTGTGGGGTTCCAAACTTCACGGCGCTCAACGTGTAAGAGTAAGCTGTATGTCCTGACTATGTTTAGAAACGCTCTGCGAGGCAAAGCAAACAAAATTCAAATATGAAAGAGTTAACGAACGGTATTTTTCTTTTGTGTAACGGCAGTCAATTGAAAGTGAATTCTAACGACTTACGGCATGGCCCTGGTAAATGTCGTCGCATTGTGGTCTCATGGAATGTAAAAGTTATTGAGATGGTATAATAAATGGTAATGAGTCCAATTATGAAAGAGACGGTATTTTTTTTGTTTAACGGCATTCAATCAGGTGAAGTGGGATATTGCTTTAGTTATTGATTGTGGGGTTCCAAACTTGACGGCGCTCAACGTCGACGTCTATTGTAATTGCATTGAATGCAATTCACATTGTCATTAAAATGCTGTGTTCACGCCGGACCGAACTATTTTGCGACCATATTCGAATTCGTTGGGTTTTCTCGCACGAAACGGATTCCCATGGTTACGATATCAAAATTAGCCATGGTTGATGGTCCAAAATTATGACCGCATAATTGCTTTAACATTATCTGCCAAATAAAAAAGGCTCTGGATAAAACAACTTAGATAAACTGATGTGTCCTGACTATGTTTAGAAACGCTCTGCCAGGCGAAGCAAACAAAATTCAATTATAAAAGAATTAACGAACAGTATTTTTTCTTTTGTGTTACGGCAGTCAATCAGATAAGTTGGAAATTTGCTTCAGCTATTGTTTATCGAGTTCCGGCCACAAATATGGCTCGTGACGAAACTTTCCTTGCGTCTCAACGCCAACGACCTATTGACATTGCATTAAACACGGCTCAGATTAGCGCTGTTTTCACACAAGACTGAAATTTTCGGGTTTTCGCGTGTGAAGATGAGTCCTACGAATCATGCTTGTGGAACCCCGCAATCATTAACTAAAGCAATCCTTACCTGATTGACTGTCGTTAAACAAAAAAGCCTCTTTCCTTTAATAATCGAACAGAGGGTCAGAGCTCCTGGCAAAACTGATTCAACATGAAGAAAGGTGATTGGTGACGGGTTAGCGTATAATTTGTTCCACATAACTATAGCGCAATTTTTGAAAATCTTCGACTGTAATAAAGACTTGATGGGTAGAACTTGAAAACACTTTGCGCCCAGGAAGACTGTTTAAAATATTTACCAATTACGTTATTCAGATGATAATGAGGCTTAATTATCCGGATCCTCTCATCGAAAGCTTCATTGCGACCCAACGTCAACGTCGATTATGAGGGTTACGATCTACGACGCCGTTAGCTTGACGTCGCTAGTCAATTATCTTGCCACTAAATATATCATAGCTACGTGCAGATAAAACGCGATCTCATAAACGCTCTCCCAGACAAACCCAACAAAGTTCAATTATGAAAGAGGGGGTCGATTTTTTTTGTTTAACGGCAGTCAATCATACAAAGTGAAAGATTGCTTTACTTATTGACTGTGGAGCTTTAGCAACATGACTCGTTGAATTATGTGTAAAACTTGAAAGCATTTTGCGGCAAGAGTAACAGTTAAAATGTTTTCAATCATGAATTGTGATTTACAAGAAGATAATTTGAAATATATGTTATTGACATTTACTGGCGACTCAAGTAAACTAAAGCGGAGCAGATTCCGAATTGGAGGACAAAGTACAAAGTAGTCAAGTGAAGCGGACAAAGAGCAGACCATATTCATTGCAGACCAAATCTTGGAAACTTTCAAAAGCCGTATTTAGTTCGTTGCGAATAACTCGTTCTTACACGCAAAACCATATTCGATAAAAATAAAAACTAAATTTGAACGGCCTAGCCCGGGTTTAGATAGAGTTGTATTACGAACACGTCACATGCATGTAACTAGGCCAATAGTTATTGAGATGGTAATAAATAGTAACGAGGCTTATCACCTGATCTCTTGACATGACATACGACGAAGAACATGGCTAAATTTTCTTCACATACCCAGGGATCGCGGAGCAAGCATTTCTATACTGGCGGGGGATCATGGAAAATAAATGCATCAGTCGATTGCCGCCATGTGTGACATAGTCACCCAAACGTTCGGTCTGCAAAATATTGGGGGGGTGAACCCACTTTGCCCGCCCCTGCATTATTCGTCAAATGGCCGGTAACTATATATTAGAGAATTATATATTAGAGAATCAAACTCTTCCCTTTGGTTTATTCTCAATTTTTTTCTAAGTACAGTTGTTTAAGCAAGTGTTAGAAACGTGTTAGAAAGTTATTTCATACTAGCACATAATTAGATATTACAGCTGCATGCAGATGAAACCTGCAGACAAAACAAATAAAGTTCAATTATGAAAGGTAGGATCGGAATTTTTTTGGTTTAACGGCAGTCAATCAGGTAAAGTTAAAGATTGCTTTAGTTATTGATTGTGCAGTGGAGCTAATATAATGATGATTCGTGCTGGGCAAAACTTGCCAATATTCTGCGGCAAGCATGACTGTTGAAAAGTTCAACCAATTACGCTAGTTATCCTGAGCAAAAACGACTTTTCTTCATGTTGAATGTTCTCTTTTGTGTATCTTCCTTAATAGTTTTTAGGAACTGCTTAAATATTATGTGTTCTTGTGGGAGATGGAAGGTAAACTGAGAGGATTTGAACATGCATTTTTAACATAAAAACACAAAAACCTTCGCGGTTCGAAAACAAACCACAGACACAAAAAAACATGCAGGTGTGTAGAATTAAGTGTAAAATCAGACTTTCCGCGTTTCACGTCATCATGAGAAAGGTTTATTGCGAGTTTGGGTTTTGGTCGAGTGTAGTAAGTCGAGGGTCGAGGGCGAGGTCGAGCATATAGTCGAGGGTAAAGTCGAGGGTAATATCATTTCGCATTGGGTGAAGTATGTTTTTTAATATCTAAAATTCCAAAATTATGTTACAAGTGAATTGAGAGTTGCATGTGTATAATGCAAGCAGCTCACGGGTTCTGCAAGCAGTTACATGTTACAATGTTGTTTTGAATTCACTGGAAAGAGTTAAATAGTCATAGGACGAATATGGTATATTTGTTGTTTGCGCATTGCTCTTTACGCTTTACGGCTTGTGATGCTTGTTTTTCAATCTGAAATATAGGCAATGAGTCAACTATAGGCCTTCTGGCAGGAATCAAACCTACGCTTTTGCGATGCCAGTGAGCTACAGAGGTAGCTAGCTCACAACCATCGTGTGATGGAAACACCTTGGTGTGATGGAAACACACCTTTGTGTGTACGCAAACGTGACACCTTCATGTGTACGGAAACACACCTTCGTGTGTTAGCGAGAACACCTCCTTTTGCACACCTTTCCTTTTGCTCATTAAGAGTAAAGTAACACACCTTTTCACCGAAAACACATCTTGTTGGGTTTGACAGCACACCTTGACCCATCCAAGAAAGACATCGTTTGGTGTTTTATACAACACACCTTTAAATTATAAACTGCATATACAATATGCTTGATTGGCCTGATTTATTACTTATAGTATTTTAGTGCGTCGAGCAAAGCGTCAGCCTTACAAATTACACAAGTCACAGGAAATTTCCCGCTGTTCCATCGCATTTAAATTTAACTTTTCGCTTCAAATTCCTCTATTATCTTTGGCCTGCGTTTCAGCTTATATACCAATAATAAAAACTCCAAACATCACAGAAGACATAAATTTAAGGGAATTTATAGACGTTGTGATTTACTTTTGCAAGAATGGGTTGTTGAATATCTGCCATACAGACTTGTGTATACAGATCAGTGATCTGAAACGTCACGCGTTTTTAACCAATAAGAATGTCGCGAGGTCGCGAGGTGTGTGTGAAACCCACGCGCACGAAATACAAACACAGAATCACAGTCACAGATACAACCACTGTTTAGTGTTTACATTCCTTCTCTACTGTGACAACTGTGCTTTCATCGAGTCTGTTTCAAGTTTAAATTATGTTTATTGTGATTTGTGAAGGCGATTTTAAGATTAATTTTTTGGAAATGAACACATGAAAGCTTATGAGGGTAAGTTGTATTGCTGTGATTTTCGAAGCATTTGTGTCAAATCATTTGTATCAATTTATCGCCAACTAGTGTAATCAGTATATGGTTGTCTCTATCTATTTGTAGAGAATGAATTGATGGTTCAGTCCGTTCAGAACAGCTTCGAAGGTTCGGAATAGCTTGAAAGTGAGAAGACTGCTTCATTCTTAAAATTCCGAGACCCCCGAAGCGCATGGCGACGCGAACCTGACATCAGCAAGTTCAACTATGGTTCAAACAACCAACTCAACAAAAGATTCGACATCACAAGAATGACTTGGTGAGTCTTACTTTTTATCTTTCAAAATTTAATTGTCCGAGTTGCTTTTAAAAAGTAAATTTATACGTATATCGGTGTATGAATGAGGCTGTTTATGCTTGGTATAAAGAAAGCATATAATTCGCTAGGTGTAAGCTTGATGAATTAATTGTCTTGTGTCTTCATTTTATATTTAATATTTTGTATTCCTTTTTGTATTCCTTTTTGGAAGTCAGTGACATTCCAAAGGACCAATTTTTGTTCTCATTATACTGCATTTGCTTTCTAAATGTTGTACATATTGGATAGTTGATTTGACAGTGTGTTAATTTGACTGAATGTAGTTTTTAATTTTCAATAGACTTGACTTCATACTCTGAAAGATAAGCTACATGTTTAAATAAAATTTTCCAATTTTAAAGAAACTACATGCAATGTGCCCAGGCCCCAATTTTTCAAATTTCAACAAAAGGTCATAATTCATATAATTATACCTGTGTATACCTGGCAATACATCCTAAATTCTTTTACCAAAAATAAATCTAATAATTTATAAATTGGTTATCATTTTGCATTGTACTATACGCTACTAAACCAACCACAGTATTAACAACATGCAGACCTTTATTATTCTAATATCTCACTGTTCACACACATGCAGCTCTCTATATCGCACGTCTCGTATTACACCTAATCATATTCCTTGTCAATCATACCCCTGGCACCTAATCCCTACTAATTATACCCCCGATTACATATATTACACCACCCCCCTTTCTAACTGAGAGCGTCTCCGATTATAGTCCTGATATGTCCGGTTGTCGACGCTGGCGGGTGGATCTTCGTAGCGCGTTCGTCCCCTCTTGAGGAGCAGGCGGCCCAACTAATCTCTCGTGATGGTGAATTACCGGTTCGCTTGGCTGTGACGCGGTTCGTCGGATCCCTTTCGGGCCACGCACAGCTTCATCTGCTTCCACACTTGGTTAGCACGGGCCTACCACCATCCTCCCCAACTTAAAGAAATCGGCACCCAAAATACACGTGTTTTTCATACCTACGACCAGAAATTGATGGGACACCACCGACGTCTCCAAGTGAACTTGCAGGTCCGTTGATCCCAAAACCTGCAGGTCTTCCCCACCGATCCCTCTTTCTCTCAAGGAACATGGCTTTAAGGGCCCACTGACAAATTCTCTACTTACTAACGACACTGCTGCACCTGTGTCCACTAAACACTTTCGTTCATGCTCGCCTATTTACGCCTTTATGAAGACCGCTGCAGGCTCGACGCAGTGTACTGGCAAGGCCGCGTTGTACTGGGCTAACCCCCGGCCTAGAAGTGGGTTGGCCCCTGGTCGTTTCCCGAATGCCCTTGGCGAGTAATGGGGGATTGGAACCGAAATTGGCATTCCCGCGCGAAATGTCCTATTTGTCCACAAATAAAGCAGTTGAACTCACTTTGGCGCTGTCGGCTATTCATTCGTCGCCCGTTCCCGGTTGCACTTCTGCATTCGCTGGCAAGGTGACCTATTCTCCCAAATTGATAACACGAGATTAATATCGTGTGTCAATGTGATGACTAAATTAATCACTCGTCGTCAGTGATTTCTAATGAAGAGATTGGCGAATAGAAGAGTTTTAAATTTCTGTCTGCAACGACACAAATATAGAATTTCAAGAGGCATTCAAAAACATCGCACCGGTCACTTTCACTTTGTATTTGCTTCGAATCTTTGGTGTTTTTCGATCATTTTCGTTTGGCTGAAAGAAGTGAAGGTAAATTTTATTTTGTTAACCTAGATATCAGACAAAAGCTTTGCTCTCATATCATATAAGTCATAGGTTACCAATATTAAACGATCGCCATTTTCTGGTTGAATTTTACGAAGAAAATTTACTCGAATAATAACACATATTGACGACCTTTATGCTGGGAAATCATTCACAAGAGCCATCTCCGATGATTGTAATATCTTATTTCAAGGCAAAAGGATCCAGCATTGATAAACTTATTTAAGACTAAAACATATCTAGATTGGCTGCAAAATGTATTAAATTTCACTACTCTCTCACTCGCATAAAGTATATGTCGGCATGATAAACAGAAAGGAGAAGAATACCAAAGGATTGTTTACTAAACAGAAGCGAGGTCAAGTAGTGAGACTTTCATCATTTCGCCGCCCGATGTAATTTGTCATACTATATGGGTTTGATTCAGTCGTAATTGTCGTGGATAATTCATTTTAAGTGAAATATTGTTGAGGGAAATTTGTCCATATATTAATTCTCTGTATGAAAATTGTCATTGTTGACTGCGCTGCAGCATTCATCCAATACATCGACATGTTCATGCATGTTCAATACATCGAAATCTTGACATGTTCACGAACAATTACGACTATAAATAAAAACCATGCAGGCTTGAAAGTTAATGTCATTGAAATATGAGAACAACGAGAACTGACTACTTAATTAAATTCGATTACATTGACTGCTGTTATTCGATTGCATTTGAGTTGAAACAAGTGTAATACTAATATGCAGCAATGAGGCGCTGACAAATACTCTTATATAGTATAAGAAAATGCAAGTTAATTAGACGGGTTGCATGAAATTTTACTATAAAAAAATTATATACATAACGCCGTCGCGTGTTGTGATTGGTCGATGCCCGGGTTTAATTTGCATTTTGAGATCAAACTTTTGATTTGCGTTTAATTTGCAGGACATAAAGGAACAAAAAATTGCACTTGATTATACATAATTCTTAGAAACATATAAAAAATAGCTCATTTCCTTTCCCGCACCAGCGACTAATGTTGATATGGTTAATTACCGACCGTTTTCGTTAGCAATTAGGCAGACCTACAATCTTATGCAAAATTAATGAGACACTATACATAATCCCGCACCCTGTTTCAATGTTGGGTGGGGATGGTTTTCACTATTCGAGGTGTTAGTCCTAATTAACTGTTAAAATACAACTTTGAGAAAGGGGGAAAGGGAATCAACATTGAAAAGTGATGGTGGCACATATCATATTGCGTGGGTTGTAGCTTAAGGACGGGAGCGCGTATATTTGGAAAGTAACATGATGCATATTAAATTTATAACTGATCAAATTCTTTCAGATGTTTAAATCCGTGATCTTTTCTGCAGCATTGGTGTTCATGCTATCTTTGTTCAATGCAAAGGTATTTTTTGTGTTTAGTTTAAAGGCCCCGTCCACACGTAACCGGATATTTTTAAAAACGGAGTTTTTTTATCCGTTTAGGTCTTGCGTCCACACGTAACCGGAAACCGAAAACGTAGGTTTTCAAAAACGCTCTGCAGAGTGGAGTTTTTTTGAAAACACCGTTTTCGTGTTTACGTGTGGACAGGCGAAAACGGTGTTTTCGAATTCGATGACGTTTATCATGAATCGGATCCAGTCTATAACGGGCCACTAACAGCGCGTGTTTTGTGTCTCTTTTTAAGAAAAAATTCTCCATTTTTAAAAATATCCGGACACGTGTGGACAGGGTCTAAAGCCTAAACCAAACGAGTTAGTATATGTGTATATATAAAAGCTCGGCAATGAATTTAGTACTTATTAATTATAATTATTAGAACAACCTTCTAGATTTGGGGAACCATAATAGGAATGTTAAAATCAATTTTTCTTCCATAATGAGTGGCGGAGCAAATAAATTTTGCATGCAAAATCCCCCACAATTTCGAGCTTGTAAATGCAAAAAAATCAACAGATTTTTCGCTTTAAAAACTTTGTACATATCTTCAATAAAATTACAATAATCTTATAGATGTTAACTGTCCGAAAAAATCATGATCCAGGAAGTTGTTCCGAATCAAATCATGGCGAACTGAAATTGGTAAAAGATCGTGAAAATAGAGATACCATATTAGTTTGTACTGAATTTGATGAAGTTTTTAGTTGGAAGACGACTGACAGTAAGCATATATATATAGGCGTGAGGGTGCAACTTCGTTTCGGGGGGGAACAAAAAAAATTGCTCGATTTTTGTTAATTTGTGAATTGTAATATCATCCCAACAGAGTGCTTAGGCATTCAAACTCTAACAATTACATTGTTATGGGTGATTTCAATAGTTTTCGTTTTTTTTTGAGACACCCTGTAGTTTCTTTTATAAAAAGAACCAGAAAATTGGTTGTTGTAACCAAGTTTTTAGTTATCAGTATTACCACTAGTAAATTGGTCTAATAAATAAATCTGAGGTAATCGTTTTTTAATTGGTACCGTTTTTTCACGGTGCAGGTGATTATTAAATGTCGTTTTATAGTATTCCTTTTCAGTTTAAAAATATTTTAGATTCTAAACCACCCGGTGAATATTTTAACCCGGGTTACGACTGCCTGGATATTTTAAACAAGAACCCAAAATCGAAAGATGGATTTTATTGGGTGAATTTCAATGCAGGAAAACCTAAAAAGGTAACCCTTAACTTTTGGCAATCAGTACAATTGATTTACTTCAAAATAAGCTAACACAATCCAATTCTGACGTCTCCAGCGTTTCCTCTTTGCCCAGAAAAAGTGAATTCAGATAACCGGCTTCCCCGACTATATCTAACTCTTATTAATTACCCGTCAAATTATGTTCTTTCCAATGTAGGTCTACTGTGACATGACAACAGATGGTGGTGGGTATATATTGTTTGGTTACATAAATGGCACTGTCACATGGGGCGTCCCATCAAATAATGAAACTGTTCAACCATTTGGTGATCCACGCTGGTCCAGTGAGTTTGGCGATGTTTCTGTTTTGGATTTCAGAATTCAAGTTGCTTCGGATAATGACATGAAAGAAACAAAGGCTCACTGGTAAATCACGTTGATTTTTCTTGACATCACCAATACGTATACCTATATATATATATATATATATATATATAGCAAAGAATGAACGCCTCCATGTTTCTATAATTATTCAGGACAAAAAATATTTTTATTCTTTTCTCTTAGGGCATTTCGTTTCAAAACCAAACGTGTCTTGAAGAATTTGATGATCGTCGATCAAGGAGGATGTCCAAACAATTTCCCTGGTATTGGAGATGTATCTTATGTCAAAGATTTGATGACGGGTGAAATTGTTTCGAAAGATTTCCCTTGCTCAATATTTGGACCATACTCTTATCCCACTGCGAAAATTGGTTGGGTAAGTTTTTATTTTAATTGAAAAATGGTACACAAGATACATAGTGCGGTTTGATGTTTTTCACTGAGCATTATGCCTTGTAGCGGGTAAGAAACTTCATTCTATTCCTCACAAGAAACACAAGGTAGAATTAGTGTTTCGGTATTTTTTTAGAAAATTAAATAACAAATTATGTAATCTCGCTAGTGACTTCCATAAATCCAACAACATTCCTGTTGTTCATAAAATTTTATGTCATCTTCTAACATGTGTTTTTAAAATTTTAATAGACGATGATGAATCTTTGTTTGGAAAAACCATGTCCAAATGGATTTGCTTACCATCCGTTGATTCCAATCCAGCTTGATTTCTCGGGAGGATTCAGGCACGTAAAAGTATAATTATATTAGCCGCAAGATATCATTTTCTAATTAATAATTAATATAATTAATACATACGTGTACGTAAAACATGGTAAAACGGAAGTATGGAAATCTTCAGAACAACAGTGAGGGGTAGGGGCAAATAGCCTTAAATTAACAGGTTTAATTGAATTGCGTTCTATAATTTAAAAACAATCGAATATTAAAAGAGTTGCGTAAAAAACTACTAGATATTGGTCTGATTATTAGATATTTATCTCGTCATGTCAGTGAATGCTTTTTTTCCATTGCCTTTTCAGTTATATCAGCCTGACAAACAGTTCAACATCTAGTGGAGGTTCAACCGCATTTTTTGGTTGCGAGAAAAGCAAGGTACGAGTCGCTTCTCAACACATGAAGAGCCCTGTCATATATATACTAACGTGAAAATTGATTTAATTACACTTAATTCGCTTCGTTTTAAAACTTGCGGTCAGGAGTGTTGACACTTGAATAAAATAAGTCTGTACACCAATGTTAATTTTTTAAACGAAACCCAATGTTAATTTTTTTAAACGAGAAGAATATGCACGTCTTAATTTAGTTTGATTTTGTTTTCTCCTGTATCGTATGTCATACGTTAATAAACGGCGTGTGTCGTATGTTATACGTTGAACGCAGTAATAAGTCGGACGTCTATGTTGAAAATTTATATAATGTTAATATGAATATGATAGGTACACTTTTGCGTTCACATGGTGTAGAGTTATCAAAATTTAAGGTTGAGCCTTAATGGCAGCCACATATTGTGCATCGTGCGTCAACATATATACCCGCTTGTCGTTTGCATGTGCGCTTACTCGTTTCATGTAAGAGAGTGCATGGGGAAAATCTTGAGCGAGGTAATAAAATACACCAAAATTATGTACAGAATAATCATTGTTGGGGCTCACCCTGACCCGAGTCCGGAATTACCCTGCCTCGCACTATCTGGTTGGCCTAATATAGACATTTTTCAAAATCATCCAGTTATTTTCAGGTTAGTGATTCAAACGGTATAACAACTCAAATACCGATACTTTTTTGAGACGAAAAGCAAAAATAAGACCAAAATGTGCTGCTAGACGATAATGTCACAATCACACGTTCAAGAAATTCAAGTCTGTTGCAGATATATTTAGATCATTAGAATAGACCTATGTTTCTTTATTTGACACGGAAGAGTGGTAAAACTGTATATTATGCATTTTAAACGAAAATAATATAGAACAGAAAGAGAAATCCGATTATTATTACTTGTTTTCTTTTTACACTGTACAATTATTTAGTGTTGTGCATGTTATGGACCACGTGGTGGAAGAAATGTTTACTGTCTTGAAGAATGTCAAGCAACAAATGGTGGTACAATAACAAAACATGCATCAGCTTGGTTCTGGGTCAGATCAAATCCTCCTCGTAAAGTTTGGGAAAAATGTATGGAGTATAAAAGTGAGGAGGAGAGTGGTGATAGTGCCTGGTATAAATTGGAAGGAGATAGAAACATTCCTGTCAAGGCAATTATATCAAATATAGCTTCCTTCAAGGCCGGTTGTATCAAGCCCGTTGAATATTATGCACTGCATGCATATGTAGTTGTAAACAGTATCTTTGTATTAAGGTAAAAAACATTTAGTGCGCTTGTCGAATGAAACGGCAGACTTGCTCAATTATAATTTGAATTTTTATCCAAGGCTTAAGCTAAACGGGCTTAATACAACCGGCTCCTGTAGTGTAGTGTAGCATCTAGCGTTTTTGAAATGCTGATAGTATTTGGTTGAATTAATGACCGGGATCACACTTTGAAATAAACGTTTGGTAGCTATCGCGTACAAGCCGGTCTTCAACAATTATTAATCACGAGGGAGGGAGGGATCTGTTTTAATAGAATATTTTATGCATTCTTTTTAAAAGTTTTTTGTTGCTCTCTTTTGTCATTGGCATCGCCCTGTGAGGACGGTCAGATGCAAGATATTAAGTTGTGGAATCCCTGATCGCGTATAATACTCCAAGGTCGTTTCACTAAGCAGTTGTCAAAATTTGAATACTTTCGGTAGAAATTTACATTGAAATTTTCGCCTGATGTGCACTAAATTGTGTTCACCTTTTAGGGAAGATGCGGAAAGAGCGAGGCACTGATGAATGATGGTGTAAGTGTAAACGTACCGGGGTTTTGATTTCACCATGTGATTTATTGCTAAACAACCATTAGTCTGTCGTTGAACATTTTGATTATATCTTCGGTGTTTAGAGGCATGAAAATTTACTAACATTAGGTAGAAGTCTTCTGATATATTCCTCATGAAAAAGATGATCAAAATTTTTAGGTGCTGCTCATTGAAGATGGTAATAATTTAAAGGACGTTCCAGCAGTCAGTGGTTTGCTAGTATATCGGAAAGATGATCACAGTGTGAATGTCAGAAGTAACGAAACATGGGAACCTCTTGTCAAAGACAAAAAGGTTGTTATACAAAAGAATCAGATAAATATGATGATTTTGATTATTTATCCTCCTCTCTTTTTTGTGGCAAGCCTTATATGACATGCCATTTTTTTACTGAATAATGCTGGATGTCCACAATGTAAATACAGTCACGTGGCATTCATTCTTAACGAGATTGCATCGCGGAACAATGGCGAAATGGGACGAGTAGTTACGATCGGATACTGGGTCATGTAACTATAAAGTGGATACATGCAATCATTTTTAAACGTAAACAAGTTGCATGTCAAAGGAAGGTAAGGATAGACATTTTATTTTTCGTGATCTTTTCTCGTTATTTTTTCATGCTGATATTTTGAAGAGGAGCTCTTCGTTTCTTGTTTCTAATGCTGGTTGTTTTTTTACCTTCAATTTTGAGATTTGTTAATTTCATATTCATATTAAGTCTACGTTTTTAATGTCACATTCTCTTTTTTTAGTCATGCACCTACAGTCATTACCTAGCTAAAATTATACGTATTTATTGCTTGAATTGGGATTTGGGGACACTTGGATCAACACCAAATCAACTAAACGAAAGGACGAAAGCAGTTATAATTATATTATCGATATCTTCGACCCGCTCTGCTGTCAGTATCTCGTATATTGACATAGAACTTTAAGCTGTTTATTGGAACCACAAATACCGACCAAATGCCAAATAAAAGTTTTCTTCTCCTAAACAATGTAGTATTAATAAGAAACTACTGTGTCAGATGTACTATATGTGAATAAATGGCTTTGTAAACAAGCTGTGTTTTCTAGTACTAATTAAAGGTGATAAAGGTGCATTGAACGTTTTAGAAATCTTATACAATATTAATAAACAAAAAGCAGGACTTTAATAGGACTATTAACATGCATACACGATGAATTTAAAACCTTTCCTAAATTAAATAGGTATCAAAAGGGATATCATAATATATCAGCATTCCTCTGAAGCAGATATAGATTTCCCACTAATTTCCTATCTCATATAGGCTTCCTACATTTATTATGCATTGTGTATATAATTTTTATAGTTCTTGTCAGTGCTTTATATTATAACATAAACATCAAAACAGGTACTATGCTATAAATTAGAAAATCTACAAATTTTGAAACTTTCTTTTTACTCCTTATAATTTCACAAAGGCAGTCCATTAAAACCAAAAATGCCAAACTAAAATTGAATTAAAAATACTGTAGAAACTGAACCTTACGGGAGTGCCTTGCTTATTATTTATTGATATTTGTTCAAAGGTTTCTGACATTGACAAAAGGCTTTCAAGACTTACACAACTCGTCAAAAACATGCATTTTGGTAAGTTTTAAAAACTTTTAGTGATATATTCCATTGGTAAAATAATCCCCGAGCCGAGGGTGCTATAATTCCGCCCGGAGATTGGGAATTACACCCTGGTATTGTGACAGAACATAGCGGAACACAAAGTCGTCCAAATACTATAGAGAGCTTACGCAAACAAGACGGCACCTTCGTAATGGCGTGTAAGAAATGGTGTTGCTTCTGCTTTTCTAATCTATGCATATATATGGTTAGCAAAAGCGGAAGCAACGCCATCAGATTCTCTTACACACCATTATACAAAGGTGCCATCCTGTTTGTGTAAGCTCTCTTATGTTATGGACCGCGAACGTTAGGCATTCAATGGTCATGGTATTTGTGCGCACGCGCAAAATTTGAAAGAGTATGGCTGGAAATTAGGAACTTGCTGATTGGCTGAGATAAAATGTTTGTATTACAATGAAAACGTCAGCAATTTAGTCTACTTTGTTTATTTCGTGTTTGCAGTAAGAATACATCCTATGAGCTTGCATGGTATGTCGCTTTGCGAAGACGTAACCGACTATTTAAGGCTTTAAATCATCGTTTTAACTTAAAAACGAGTTTTGAAAAAGTCGACTGCAATTACTGCATCAATTCAATAATCGAAAAACAACATTCGTCTATAGTGCTTTGCATGGGAGCTAGTAAACTTATTTCTGCAATTTTCTCCTGCTTTGATGTTTTGAAGGACTGGTTTAGTTATAGTGAAGTATTATAATTATTAACTCTTACTTAAACTGTAAAAGTCTGTAACTGTAAGAAACATCATGCAGCAGGTAAATGGGTGACTTCACTTCACCTTTACCATTGCATGTGTTTGTATTCGAAAATTTGAAACATCACTCATCAGCTATCGACTTTACATCGTTGAACATGATTTGCTCGAAAATAAATTTGGAGTTGCAACACAGGAAATAGTATAGGCAAAAATGTTCTCCGTGTTTACCATACTTACCCTTGACGGGCATATTCAAACCTAAGAATGTAAATTTGTCCCTTTCCCTCATGCACCAGCTCACTCATTACGAGTGTCTAGGCCTTGGGACCCTATAGGAGGCAGTTTAAAAGGAGAAAGGAACACACACACAACCCAAGCCATACACCCATCCAAAATAGCGCTAATCAGCTTTAATGTGAGAGATCGATTTTATGTATTTACAGCCATTTGCAGTTGAGCTGGCATTTCAAACGCGTTGTTCCATTGTTTGAAACAGTGCGTTGATTGGTTAGCAACGCGTCGTTGCTAACGGCTAAAATGATACATTTCCTAGGCTATGACATTTCTAGAGATGTAATACCTAGGAAATGTAGGCTATTACCGGTACTGAATTTAAAACTGTTTACATGTCGAATTGTTTGTTATTGAATTACTTGGAATATGTTGACGAAAAATTTTCATCATTTTTTTCGTCATCCAACATTGTACGCCCTGTCCTCTTTAATGAACTTTATCATATTGCAATGTGTATTTTGTAAATCAGACAATTCGGTTAATAAGCAGCAGTTTAGAAATTCAGTACGTAATACATTTCCTAGATATGACATTTCTACTTATAGCCTAGGAAATGTATCATTTTAGCTGTTAGCAATTAGGCGTTTCTAACCAATCAACGCACCGTTTCAAACAATGGAACAACGCGTTTGAAATGCCAGCTGCCAGCTCAACTGCAAATGGCGGTACAATATATAAAATCGATCTCTCACATTAAAGCTGATTAACGCTTTTGATGGATGTATGGCTTGGGTTGTGTGTATGTTCCTTTCTCCTTTTAAATCGCCTCCTAGGGTCCCAAGGTCTAGGCACTCCTATTGAGTGAGCTGGTGAGAGAAAGGAACTTCATAATGTATGTATATATATATATATATATATATATATATATATATATATATATATATATATATATATATATATATATATATATATATATATATATATATATATAATATATATATATATATATATAGCCAACAAGTATTCCCACACTGCTCGGTAGTAAAGACATATAGGAAACAATTGTAACTACCACGGCCAGAATTAAAACTAAAAGATTTTATTAAAAATATACTAAGCTTAAATTTTCGGCCACATGCCGCAGCCTTCTTCAGAAATATATATATATATATATATATATATATATATATATATATATATATATATATATATATATATATATATATATATATATATATATATATATATATATATATATATATATATATATATATATACACCCATACACCCGTTTGCAAAAACGTTGGCCGCAGATAGATATATAGATAATCTAATTAGAATTGCATATGTTGTGTAATATGATTGAAATCCCATGCAAATGTATTCATATGCAATTCTAATTAGACTTCGAGTATCTATCTATCTATCTATCTGCGGCCAACGTTTTTGCAAATGGGTGTATATATATATATATATATATATATATATATATATATATATATATATATATATATATATATATATATATATATATGTGTGTGTAATGGGTGTATATATATATATATATATATATATATATATATATATATATATACATATATATATATATATATATATATATATATATATATATATATATATATATATATATCCAAATGTAATTGTTTGTAATGGATAAAAGAGTGCTCAATACTAATTACAAGTAGAGCGAGTCATTTATTGAATTTATCTTAAAATATTGTCGTTGCTACACGGTGTTTCACGCCTGACCTTTTACAGTCAGACGATCTTCAGGCGACAAATACAGGATTGAGTTCAATCATGGTTCAATGTTTGCTTGCGACGCATCTTCAACGGTCTGCTGACGCGCGCTCGCGCGCTTAGATGTTCGCACCCCATTCTGCGTGCGTTTAAACCGCCCCGCATTGAACTTGTTCCGGTGGCAGCACTTCGAGAACAGTTCGCTTCTTTTGTTCAAGGATTTACTATGGTCTGCTTGTATTATGCATAGTTTTTCTGAAAGGCATAAGTTGCAGCACTTTTTACCAGCAGTGCGGGGGGTGGCGCGTTTCAAAATTGACCAGTTGATCTTGAATGGTTTCCCACTCGTCTTAAGTTTCCAGACATGTTTCGACAGTTCTGTGTCTGTAGCGTAGCGTTCGTTGTTGATAGATCTCTTGTGATTCCTGTAGCGTTCTTTGAAGGTCGTAGCCGTCATTCCGATGTACTCTTTCGTCTCCTTTTCGTCTTTAGTCAGTATTATTTCGGCTTTATAACGATGTTCTTCGTCAAGCAATTTCCTTGAAGAGGGCAGCTGTCTTTGATTCTGCAATTGCAGTTGTTGTTTTCGGTTCTTCCTGTGTTTCGTGCGTTGTTTAGTAGTCGATGGTTGTGGTTTGAGATCGCGCTTTTTATGTTTCCCATACAGGAGTAGCTCACTTTTATTGAGTTCCTATTGAAGATTTTGTGTAATGGGGATGATTGCGGAAAATGTTTGTCTAACAACTGTTGGAACTTGCGTGCAACGTTCGTACTGACATTTTTGCTGTATGGCGGATTGAACCAAATGATTTTCCTTCGACGCGCTCTTTCTGGTGACGAGGGGTTGATGGTGCGGTCAGTTTGGTAATGCATTTTGAAGTTGTAATTGCTGCGTTTGAGGGCATTCTCATAAAATGATGTTGAGGAGTCAAAGGATGCTTGGTCAGATGACAGGTTGGATATTCGATTGTTCACCGATGTTGGGATTTGTTTGATAATTGATGGAGGGTGATTGGATCTGCTGTCGATGTAGAGGGGATCGTTGTTTGGTTTTCGGTACGGCGAGTATTTCTGGTCTTTCAGGTTTAGGGTGATGTCGAGAAAGTTTACAGTTTGGTTGTTGATTTCGGCGGTTATTTTCAGATCGAGTTGGTGGAAGATTTCGTGTAGATCTTTTCGAGCTTTATCAGCTGATCGACCACTGACACCTTTCAATAGGGAGATTTAGCACGAGGACGTGAACGTCAAATACGACGTGAAAATGGCGAGTAAGTGGCGTGGCATGCCCATATTTGGGCGCATCACGCCATTTATTCGCCATTTTCACGTCGTATTTGACGTTCACGTCCTCATGCTAAATCTCCCTAATAATGCTAGACCGTCGTCCCGATACAACCCAACGCCGTTACCGAACTTTCAGAAAAACCTTGATGCCTTTCAGAAAAACTATGCATAATACAAGCAGACCATAGTAAATCCTTGAACAAAAGAAGCGAACTGTTCTCGAAGTGCTGCCACCGGAACAAGTTCAATTAATGCGGGGCGGTTTAAACGCACGCAGAATGGGGCGCGAACATCTAAGCGCGCGAGCGCGCGTCAGCAGACCGTTGAAGATGCGTCGCAAGCAAACATTGAACCATGATTGAACTCAATCCTGTATTTGTCGCCTGAAGATCGTCTGACTGTAAAAGGTCAGGCGTGAAACACCGTGTAGCGACGACAATATTTTAAGATAAATTCAATAAATATATATATATATATATATATACATATATATATATACATACATACAGCCGCTGTTACTAATGTTGTCCAAATCAAATATATCAATATACCTGTCATGTGACTTATTGGTATGCACCAACTCGAGTGTGCTTGCTATGTAAATGTATCTGCTATGCGGGTGCTTCGCTAATATTGCGAGTTCAATTGCACGGCCAGTGTTTACAATAAGAGAAGCAAGTTCAAAATGCCGGCACCATACTCGAATGATCTACGGTGGCGAATCATATTTCATCGCGTCTTTTATCTACGTACCTATAAAGAAATCGCCTCACAGCTATTTGTTTCTACAAAAACTGTTTATCGAACATATCAACATGGTAATGTGAAACCTTGTGTCCTGGGTCGACCAAACCATACAAATACTTTCTTTCCACACGAAGAGTACATAATAATGATAAACCTTATTAAACTTCATTATCATGCATCTCATTATCTATTGTTGGAATTGCACTCGACACGACTAAAATGCGACGTATAACCTAGGCCTTAAGCTTATAACCGCTCAAGGAGGTACACATCAAACCTACGTTGCATTTAATCGTGTCGCATTCAATTCAAACAATAGATAATGAGATGATAAACTTGATTCAAATTCATTACCATCTCATTACCTATTGTTCGAATTGCATTCGACGCGACTAAAATGCGACGTATAATCTAGACCTGAGCTATTAACAATATGCATTTTAAAACAAAGGAAGATTTTATGCATGGAGAGATAGACAGACATTCCTCTCTGTCCTTCATTAAAACTTTATTGCATGTATGAGGGCGCCTACGAAACTGAATTGTTTATACCAATAATGAAAGGGAATTTCAAAGAAGAAACTGGCTCTGCTGAATATTCACGGACATTTCATTCGCTTTCATTGCAAAATCCATGATGATGTACTCTTCGTGTGGAAAGAAAGTATTTGTATGGTTTGGTCGACCCATGCAGGACACAAGGTTTCACATTACCAGTGTTGATAAATGTTTAATATGTTCGATAAACAGTTTTTATAGAAACAAATATAGCTGTGAGGCGACTTCTCTATAGGTACGTAGATAAAAGACGCGATGAAATATTATTCGCCACCGTATATCATTCGAGTATGGTGCCGGCATTTTGAACTTGCTTCTCTTATTGTGCAATTGAACTCGTGCAAATTGAACTCGTGCAATTGAACTCGCAATATTCGCGAAGCACCCGCATAACAGATACATTTACATAGCAAGCAAACTCGAGTTGGTGCATACCAATAAGTCACATGACAGGTATATTGATATATTTGATTTGGACAACATTGCTGACAGCGGCTGTATATATATATATATATATATATATGCTCAGCCCGACTTTTAAGGCAAAAATAATTAAAATAATTTATGTGTTAGGTTTGGCGCATGAGAAGAACAACGTTTGACTTGCTGTCGCCCCAGTGTCACGTGATGCTACATGCTTTGCCGCACCAAACGGCGTTTGCCGTACTTAATTCATTTTTGATGAACTCAACCAAGTTAAACGTCGCTCTTCTGCAGAACTTAATACATCAATTAAGTTCGGCGCATGCGAAGTACGACGTTTGACCCAGGCCTAAAACTAACATAGGTATTTAATTCATTTCTTTTTAATGAAACATTGTATTAATAGTTGCTATCGTCGTGTTCCCATCCTACATGCTTAAGGCCCCTAGTGTTTAAAAACGGTTGGCGACCGTCGGTGCCAATATGAGCAGGGGAGGGGGTGTATATTCCTAAATTCATTGCCGATTGATTTCTTTCGTACGCTATTGTTCCTGCGATAGATAATCATGAATAGATGAATATTCAACCCCCCCCCCCCAATTAAGCCATCTAGCTACGGCCCTGCGTATGAGAACCAGGCTTTGGGTAGAATTCTTAATTATGTCTTGCAATGTGTATGTACGGATTCATATTATGTACAGCTGTTGTGATTGTATATATGTTTAAACCTTTCATGGCATTGTACGTTTGTATTGCAGGCTACTTGCCCTCTTGCTCAACACTGAAAGAAAAACATGCAGAATTCTCCAGTGGTATCTACTCCATTAACCCCCGCAGTCGTGAATTGCCACCGTTTCCGGTTTACTGTGATATGAGTGCAAAACAAGGAGTTGGAGTCACCGAGTTTGGGCATGATAGCGAGACCAGAACGAAAGTCAGTGGCTTTGAGAATGCGGGATCTTACAGAAGAAATGTTACTTATTACAATAAAATGAGTGATATTGTGGCTGTGATTAGTGTGTCGAAAAATTGCGAACAGTTTATAAGATATGAATGTCATTACACTTATCTCAAGCCTAACTCCTATGGGTGGTGGGTATCTCGTCAGGGTAAAAAGATGAATTACTGGGGTGGAGCTGCAATTGATAGTGGCAAGTGCGCGTGTGGTATGACAAATAGCTGTGAGAAAAACAAAATGTGCAACTGCGACGCAATTTTGCGGGAATTACGGGAGGATAGTGGATACCTGACGGACAGGAAAACATTACCTGTTACAGAATTAAGATTTGGAGACACAGGAGCTGATGGCGAATATGGTTTTCACACTCTGGGAAAACTTCGTTGTTGGGGTTGATTATCAAAAAGGCGGAAAATTCATTAACTTTTGCTGTTTTGTGCTGCATAAGAAATTCTTTCGTCGAAAAACTTTATTTAGTGATATAGTGGAAAAGAGAACTATGCATTGAGATATATTCCATGAAAACCGTAAAAAATCATCAATATATGAACCTAATAATTATGAAATCAACTAAATTCTTTATAATTATATTATATGGGAATCATAGAAAATTCTGGCCTCATATTGGTCACTGCATGACCTCAGATCATTACTCTATAAAATCAGGCTGTAGATTTAAAGTAAATGTTGCACCTAAATTAACGAAGAAGGGAAAAAAATAGCGTATACAATTAGTTTCGCGGTAAAAAATGTTATAATTTTTTGGCATAAGATTAAATGCTTAATTATATCGTCGTAAAATTGTCAATATATTTGTTTATGTTTGTAAAATGTATTACATATCTCTACACCGTTTTTTTTCATATACTCACCTTTTTAAATTATTTTAAAACAATTATTCACCTCGCTTGATCTTGCCGAATAATTGTTAACATACGTTGCAACCTCGTTCCCAGGGCCTTTTGGGACTTTATGTGGGGGTTGGGGCTGGGGGCGAGAGCAGAGAAGAGAAAGGCCCTATGATCGGCCGTTTAAAATACCCACATTTCGCGGATATTTTGAATAAGCATAAATTATCATAAAATTTTGCCTAATAGTTTCAAACTGATGGCGGCGTTATGTAGAGCGGATAATATTGTCGCTTTAAAGGATATTGAAATTGTACTATTTCGGAATAATTACAAAATATTTCGCTAATTAAACATAAATTAGAAAAATAATTTAACCAATCAGAAGTCAGAAGCGGCTGGCCGATCCCAGGGCCTTTTACCCCAACCCAGAATCAATGTAAAGGGCCTGCATGGGAACTAGGTTGCATATGTTGCATACACGTAACAAAAACTCACCTTTGCAAGTATATTTTGAATTTTTGGTGGTCAATGGTTAGAAATCTGTGACAGTCAGCAGTTCGATGTGCGGGCGCAAACAACCAGCTGCATGGCGTGCGGGCTCAGGATATCCTATTCATAATTTTACAATACGAATTATAAATCAACAAATTGTTTGACTGAAAATTTGACTTTTAAATTGCCAATTGTGAGAAATGGCTACTGGATTCAATTCTACGCCTTAAAAGGCTTGTTTCAAAGAGGACCGTGCGAAAATCGAAATACGGTAAGTTTTAATATTGTGTTTGTTTTTGCCTTGAGCATGACGCTTTATAATGAGTTCAGTTATTGAACCATTAGTCACTGAATAACTATATTTTTTGTTATAATTTAATATAAGGTCGAATACTTGGTGAAATGGAAAGGCTATAGTGCTTTCGACAATAGCTGGGAGCCTGAAGACAACTTAACTGCTGACCTTTTGAGGTATGTAGCTTTCCATGGCCAACTCATTGTTTTATCACATTGGTAGTACAGTATACTGTAAATATTGTCCAGTTGGCCCATTACTGCCTGACATTTTCCCCACAGCAGATAAAAAAAGTAAAATTATTTATATTACTGGGCAGATCCACTTTAAAATGAGATTATGAAATGTGATTGTAGGAAATGTATTCTTTTTGTTTAGAAATTACGACAGGCCAAAAATTACCCCGGAAAAAGTAACAAAAAATCTGGATTCACTGAGGGTTGCAGTAATGACAAAGCTAAAAAGCCATAGCAGAAGCAACCTAATTTTTTATTTTGACCATGACTGTTTTAGATTTTTATTTTTTGGGTTGGGGAAAAGACTAGGACACTAAAAACGTTTTTGTCAAAGGCTAAAATTGGATTATGGTTTTGTTCTTCATTTGGCCTTCAGCTAGATAGTCTGGTTGTGAAAGAGGAATCCAGTGGGACAACACATACATTAAAATGCACTGAGGAAAGTAGTGTTTCAATTGAATATTCTATGACCAGGGATGAATCTCAAAGCACAAAGTACACAAATTTACCACAGAAAGAGAAAGGTTGAACAGATCCCTTTCCTTATTGACAAATTCTGTGTTGGAGATTCTTTTTACCATGAGCTGACAATGGCTGTGAAAGATTTGCCAAGGTCATATTTGGTTAAACAATGCCGTAATGAACTTAACAAGATGTGTCACCTTGAAGGACTACAAGGCAGTAATCCTGAGGCCAAAGTCAGTTCAGTTGAAGATATACTCAAAGTGCATGTTGCTGCTTATCTCCTGCAGAATCCGGGATTTGACATTGAAAATAATAAAATCCAAATTAAGATAAGTGGTGATGGTGCCAAAATTACTAATAACTCAAACTTTATTTTATTATCATGCTCTGTTTTGCAAGCTGGAGAGAATGTAATGTCTGCTAAGGGAAATAGGACAATTGCTGTGGTTAGTGGCAAAGAAGATTATGCCACAATTAAGGAGTCGTTTGGGGATGTGATAAGTGAAATAAACACCTTTATTACTTCTGGAAAACCTCTGGTTGATAACAAAAATGTAAACGCTGAATTTTTTCTTGGTGGTGATTATAAGTTTATATTATTGATGCTTGGTCTCAAGGGAGCCATATCCAATTATGCTTGTGCCTGGTGTAAAGTACACAAGAATGACAGATGGAAGATGGATGGTCATTATAATCACTTCAATACCCCTCCTTTGTCCAGATCATTGAATGAAATTAGGGAAATTAGGGAAATGGGTCAAAAATCAAAGGACAATTATTGCTGTGATAAACCACCTTTATTCAATATTGGTCTTGATCATATAGTTGTAGATGAGTTACATTTGTTGCTGAGAGTAACAGACATTCTGCTGGAAAATATTGTGTATGAATGCATAGATTGGAATAAAAGTGATGAACTAGACCGGGTAAGAGGAGAAATGAGGGGGGTGCATCTGAAGAAGTTAATTCAAACAATTAAGTCTTGTGGTGTTACATTCTATGTTTGGGAAAAGAGAGATGTGGATGGCAAGTCTAGTTGCCAGTATGACTGGACAAGACTTCTTGGCTCTGACAAGAAACTACTTTTATCAGAGTTGCCCTCAAAAATGTCTCAAATCTTACATCCAGACACAGCTGAGTCAGTTGCTGAGATATGGAAACATTTTCAATCTATATACAAGGATGCTAGTACCTGGGACCCTGACAACAACCCTACAGAGTATTGGATCAAGGCAAAGGATTGGGTAAAACTTTTTCTGTTATTAAATGGCAAAAGGGAAGAGTATGAGAAGAAGGGAATCACCCCATACATCCACATAATGGTACACCATGTGCCTAAATTTTTTAAACTCCACAGATCAGTGAAAATTTTTACTGGTCAGGGGGTAGAGAGAGACAACGACGTGGCTCGAAGTGTTGTACTGAGGAAATCAAACAAATGGGATTCAGCTGGAGAAGTACTTCGACATGAACAGCGACAGTGGGAATTGCGTGAGCATGAAAGAAAGCCTCGTAATTATTGGAAGACCAATGCTAACTACTGGGAAAGTGAAATTAGAGAAAAAAGGCAGAAAAGAAGCAGGGTAAGTATGGAAACGGCCCAATCACCTGCTGCTTCTGGAGAAAATAACATGGGTGAAAATGTGCCAAGTGGTAGTTCAAGCATTGGCACAATAGATTATTCTGCATGCTATGACAATAGGTGCTTTAAGAAAAGAATTACGAAATCGAAATGCTAGAGGATATAGCAGAAAAAATAAAGCACAGCTAATTGAACAATTAAAACAGTTGTGTGAAAACTAAATAATGGTAATGTGTGAACAAAATGAACAAATAACAGATTGAGCTCAGCTCGATCCTCATAAATTAGACAAAGGTGTTCCCTCCTTTATTACTATGTATTATGTATTACGGTTGTTTTTTTCTTTAAATATATATATATATATATATATATATATACACCCATTTGCAAAAACGTTGGCCACAGATAGATAGATAGATAGATACTCGAAGTCTAATTAGAATTGCATATGAATACATTTGCATGGGATTTCAATCATATTACACAACATATGCAATTCTAATTAGATTTCGGGTATCTATCTATATATCTATCTGCGGCCAACGTTTTTGCAAACGGGTGTATATATATATATATATATATATATATATATATATATATATATATATATATATATATATATATAAGTAACAAATGTCCAAGATCTGCTCAGTAGACGAAACATAGATATATCAAACACAAAGTCTACTACACTGTTATTTTCAGGGAGTTATTTTAACACCCCCAAATTTCATTTTTCGGGGTGTTAAATTTTGGTGCTATTTTGACACCACTTTTAGAGTTATATTAACTCCTCGGTGGAGTAACGAGGTCTTCGAACGTTGATTAGTATGCAAAAATAATCCCATCTAGAGGGGTTATAGAAAGTAACTCCATTTTTGGAGTTAAATTCCTCTCATTATATATTCATAATGGAGATTTGAAAACAAGGAGTGAAGATTCGTGATGCACATCGCGTTAATGATAATTTTTATTGAAATTGAACAAAATCTTGTATTGAAATCATTTACTACATCAGAATACGTGATGAAAAGATTGCCTCGGATAGTTCTGGTAAGTTTATAACGATAAATGTCATAGAATCAATCATTAAATAGCGAAATACATGGTCGATCGGCTGGAGTAAAGCATTGACAACCGATCGTTATACATCGTATAGCGCATTATTATATAAGGTATTCAGCGCATTAAAAATATCATAACTTACGGTCTTGTAGTTCTAGCCTGGAAGGCCTTAATTGAAGTTTTTTCGAAATCAAATTTTCAAACAAACTATATAAAAGAGCTCATTTGATATATTTATGGAAATGCGAATTCCCCAGGTTTATATTTTTGGTACTTTAAAACATGATTTATTCATGAATTATTCAATAAAACTATTTTTAACCTCTTTATGTGCAAGAAATCCAAGCATGCTTGTTTATTTCAGTTTATAATAAATCAAATAATAAAATTTTCCTGTTTTTTGTTAATTATTTTGCAATGAATCTTCTTTATTTTTATATTCAGGATCACCTTAACATAACCAGGTAATATGGGACATTGTAATATCCATTCCTGGTTCTTTTTAATAATTGTCTGAAAGGTGGTCAATATTTGAGTGTAATGCTCAAATGCACATTAGCTATTTACACAACCAAGAAGTGCTATAAACATTTGATTGGTGCATTTTTGGATAACATATATATGTGAGAGTTAAGTGGCATTTAAAAGCTTGGTGATTTGCAGTCTTCCATATCAAATGTGGTCTTTTATGCTGCAAAATTTTAAGTAATACATCTCTCAAAACTGACCCTTAAACATGTTATATATGATTATGAAGCTATATATATTCTTAAGGCTATAAATACAATTTTTTGAAAAAACTATTTTGTGTTAATATTATCTGTCAAAGAACCATGCATTGAACAGTGCAGATCATGTGAATCAAGCATTAAACTGTGCAGATAATTTAGAGCTATAATTATACACAATATGTATTGCAAGGCAGGTTTTAATCAGAAATCAATTTTAAAAAATTTGACCTTTTGAATTAATATTCTTGAGGGCTCATGAAAGTTAAATTTTCATGTATGAAAAAGAATTAATTTATATGTCTTTTCCATTGTCCCCTTTGGAGACCTCAATAACATTTATACAAAATCACCAACAACATCAAATCATAGATTAATTAAACTGAAGAAATAAGTGTTTGTTAGGTACCACAGAATATGTTCATAAATTAATAAAGCAAAAAACATTACTGATAGTATCTTAACATTAACTTTCATTTTAAATTTTGACAGTTGATTTTAAAATCAAGACAAACTGAGTCAACTAATCAAGAAAAAGAAAACCTCATGATGTGGTTTGAATTGCCAGGGACACCTATGCTAAGACTTCAGGTCTTTATACAGCTCAGTGGCCGGGTCTTTCTTGGCGAAATATTTGCAAAGTACACACGAAGCCCTCGCTTGCTCCGTAAAAAGTTCTCTTTCTCGGTACTTTTCATTCGAAAAATTGTAAACTTAGTAGAGGACTTGCGATTTTGGATGCGAAAAGCTGGATTTGGCGACTAGTGCGAGCTATTTTAAGGTAAATATTTGAAGTTTTTCTTGCATTTAGTCTTCCCGCCTTTTTATTGTGTTAACTTGGCCTGCAAAAACAGACAAATTTATTGCAAGATTCTTATAGTTTGATTCTAAAATGTTTTTCAAATAGTTGTTTCTATAATTTTTGATGCTGGTCGATTTATTTTTTCTGTGGGGCTGTTGCCAAAAGAGTTTTTCAGTCGCAAAACTGACGGCGAAGTATTTTTTTGTTTCTGATCAGCATGAATACATGATATCGCGAGCCTCCGATATTTACCTTAAAGTTCCTGGGATATTTTAATAGTCTATAACAATTCGAATTCGTATCTTTAGAAGCAGTAGAAGGACAGAAGTCCACAATGCCCGGTAGAGGGTAGAAGAAGCAATGCCAATGGGAAACTCAAACACAAATTTCAATACAAGAAAGCCCTAACCAGGCCCTAACCTAGCGAAACGATGTTGAAAACAACCCCAAAATAACTGTTCAATTCTCAATGGACGAAGCAACTTACCATGATGCAGTAAATCTAGGTATGTGGAATTTTTTTCCTATTCTTTTTATATTAGCTAAGCCTAAGTTACTTGAAATTATTCCTTCCTTATACTCACATGTTTCTGCTTATTTGTTTGAGTATGTTTGCATTGTGGATCACATAGAACATATAGATTTTGAAGGTCTGTTGAACAATGTGCTCTGTTATATGCATACAAAGCACACTACTCGAATTTACACTCATATACATGCAATTTTTCTATTTGTTCGTAGATTGAAGACTCGTTTCGTGCAATTGGCACAACAGGAAACCTCCGAAAATTTTACTACGAGGAAAATTGTAAAAGAAGAAACGTGGATCAGTATTGCTTATACAGCCAGGTCATCATCTTGGTAGAGTGAGTCTTAGCTTAGTAGAACTCTAGTAGAACTGAACAACCAGTGTCTTAATGACTATACCATTATGTTTAGGCATGCATGGTACTCCACTTAAAAACATTTTCTAAATTTTTTGCAAATGTGCATGTGTGTTAAAGTGTAAATAAAAAGTATTAAAGAGCTATACTATAGAAGCAATTCCTTTAATGCGTAGTTGACTTGCTGTACTCAAACAGAAATGTAATTGATCTCATGTATTCAATATATAATATAATAACGATATTTGTGCTGCATTGTTTGTTGACTCGATCGGTATTATAGGTAGAAATCTTCGATGGAACGGAATATTTCGCTCAATTTATTTATCTTTTCAATTGTGAAATTAAACCGAGGCAGATTTACTGGATAGATCACAATTGAAAAGAAAATCAAGCGAAAAATTTCCTTCGATCGAAATAATTTACCTATATAGTAGAAAACCGGCCTAACACCTAAAACGGTGTTAAATGTGTTTAACTCCAAAAATGGAGTTATGTTTTAAGTCCAGAATTGGAGTTAAATTAACTCCAAAAGCGGTGTTAAATTATAACACCAGAAGTGGAGTTATTTGTTACTCCAAAAAGCTACTCATTTTGAACCTTTTTTTTTGACCTCTTTTTTGGTGTTAAAATAACTCCCTAAAAATAACAGTGTACGAATCAAAGTATATTTGAATATAAATATTAAAGCTTAAATATTAAATTTTCGATTGTATTCCACAACCTTTACTTAGTTCTGATGAAGGTTGTGGAATACAATCGAAAATTTAATATTTAAGCTTTAATATTTATATTCAAATGTACTTTGATTCGTAGTAGACTTTGTGTTTGATATATATTTATATATATATATATATATATATATATATTATATTAATATATATATTATGCAACGAACCAGAGAAAAACCCTAAAATACCTCATATACATAACAGTATTTTACGAGATAACGAGAAAACGTCATGCACGAAACCTCAAAATAAAAGTTAAAATTAATATCGAATCGAATGTTGAATGTATGTATGATAGTAAAGAGCACAGGCCTGCGCCATGGTTGCGCTGCCCTTGCCTGAAGACGTACAAAGCTGTTAACTTAGCATCTTTATTATAGCATCTACAGGGTGTCCCAAAAAAACGCAACCACTTAAATATGCAGAACATTAATACAGCTCTAAAGCGCAATAGATACGCACCTCTGAGAATTGAAAATGGCTCTTAATCCTTCATTTAAAATGCTAAAAGTCATTTTAGCTGAACTATGGTGCAAACCCGAACAATATTAATATTCTTGCATATTTAAGTGGTTGCATTTTTTTTTTGGGACACCCTGTATAAACTAATTGTCTACAGAATGATGATATGGAAGTATGTTGCATGCAAGCTGCATCAGTGCATGAAGTTTTCAACATGGGGAAGGGGGGTCTTTAACCACTTCGTAGGTCTCAGCATCAACTCTTTTGACAACAAGCTTAACGACGTCTAAAAAGTCACCGAACCTTTTTATACTCGAAAATATGCTTTTTAGGCCTAGTCGCGATGTTCACTACCTCGTTGATGCCATTGATAGGAACCTTAAGGCGGATTTCCACTTACAGCGAAATCGTTCGCTGGCGAAATATTTGCATATTTTCTTTTGAATTGAGAACACTCAAGTCGCACTAATTTATTTATGCTGTTTAAATTCGAAAGAAAATATGCTAATATTTCGCTAGCGAACGATTTCGCTGTAAAGCCTAGCGCACACTGGTGCACTTAGCACGCACACACGTCACTCGTGACGATTGTCACCTGCACATATTCCTCGTCTGCGGGGACCAAATTGAGATATTCGGTCATTCGTGTCGTAATATCCAATTATCAAACATGTTTGATATTTTTTGATATTTTCTATCACGCGTGACAAATGCGCCAAGTGTGCGCTGAACATATGCGATTAAAACATGCAGCAAGGAATATGTTAATGAGAAATACAATAAATAATCTTAAAAGTATGGAGGAACAACGCAATGAACTGGTTGCAGAAGCCATTTTAGAAGACAAACTGGTAGACATATATCCCGAATATCCGTGTATTTACAATGTACGCTCGCGAGATTTCAAAAACAGAGATCTACGAATAAAAGCATTTCGTCCATCCATCGTTTCGCCCATATTTTACGATTGGCTACCCTTAAGCGTCTCCGGCGCCGACGCATAAGCAAAAGGAAAAGGAAAAACAAAATTTCTTCGTCTTCAGACAAATAATCGTCACTTTCATACTCCATGTTTAGTTTCTTTATTGTATATTTCACATTTACATTTTCCTGCTGCATGTTTTAATCGCATTTGTTCAGCGCACACTTGGCGCATTTGTCACGTGTGATAGAAAATATCAAACATGTTTGATAATTGGATATTACGACACGAATGACAGAATATCTCAATTTGGTCCCCGCAGACGAGGAATATGTGCAGGTGACAATCGTCACGAGTGACGTGTGTGCGTGCTAAGTGCACCAGTGTGCGCTAGGCTTAAGTGAAAATCCGCCTTTAAGCCTGTTTTCCACTAGGCGAAATTATTCGCGCGACGCAAAGCGATATCTGAAATCCGGTGATGTGATTGGCTTGCGAAAAAACTTGCTTCGAAAAATTAGAATCACTTATTCATAAAATTACTCAGTACTGCCCGACGGATTTCTTTTGTTAGTGCAATAGCTTACAATAGAAATCCGTCGGGCAATAATGAATATATGAATAATCCTCCCCAATGTCAATAAAGTTACGCCACTGAGTTGAACAAGTTGATTTTTGTAAACTTGCTACATGTCGTCATTAGTAATTTTTGCTGGTGATTAACTTGTTCTCTCGCCCAAACTGACGTATGAAAGTAATTCTAACGACTTACGACGTGTCGCATTGCGGTCTCGTGGAATGTGAAAGTTTTTGAGATGGTATAATAAATGGTAATGAGCCCAAATATAAAAGAAACGGTATTTTTCTTTGTTTAACGTCAGTCAAACAGGTGAAGTGGGATGTTGATTTAGTTATTAATTGTGGGGTTCCACATGAATGTCGCTCGTAATGGGTAAAACTTGAAAACACTGCGGCAAGAAAGAATGAAGTTTATATTCTCATCATCGAAAACTCCACTGCGTCTCAACGTCGACGTCTTTTGTAATTGCTCATGTGTTCAACCCCGACCAAACTATTTTGTGGTCATGTTCGAGTTCGTTGGGTTGGTTCTCTCGCGTGAAATGGATTCGCATGGTTACGACATCAGGATAAGCCATAGTTGATGGTCCAAGCAAGTTTTACGCCCAAAATTATGACAGCTTGATTGCTTCAACATGATCTGCCAAATAAGAAGGTTCTGGATACAGAAATACGCTATGCTAATAATTTTTATTTTGGTGCTCATTGACTGTGAAAACAATAAGTTTCTAAAGGCATGAATAATTATAAATTTAACTCGAAATTTACATAGCGGGACAAAATCGTCAGCTGGCTACGCCACTGTGCCAAGCGAAGCAAACAAAATTCAATTATGAAAGAATTAACGAACGGTATTTTCATTATAGGTAACGGCAGTCAATGAGAAAAATTGGAAGATTGAATGCTATTGTTTGTGGAGTTCCACAAATATTGCCAGTGATGGGTAAAACATGAAACGAATTACGTTATTGAGGTCGTAATGACGTTTATCGTCTCATCGAAAGCTTCATTGCATCTCAAAGTCAACGTCTATTGTTATCGAATTAAACACGACTCAGATTAGCGCTGTTTTCACACAGGATGGAATAATTTGCTCGAACCTTTCGGGTTTTCTCGTGTGTCGTGTGAAAACATGGGGCTGGTCTTCATGTCTATCGCAGATTTTCATCTTCTGCAAGAAGCTCTGACCCTCTGTCCAATTCATGATGAAAGGAACCAGGCTTTTTTGTTTAACGGCAGTCAATCAGGTAGATATTGCTTTAGTTAACGATTGCCGAGTTCCACAAAGTATGACTCACTATACGGGTGGGTAAAACTTGAAAACACTTTGCGGCCAGGAAGACTGATAAAAGTATTTATACTAATTACGCTGTTGAGATGGTAATGAAGTTTATCCTCTCATCGAAAGCTTCATTGCGACTCAACGTCAACGTCGATTGTTAAGCCGGTTTTCCACTAGCGATATTTTTCGCGCGAGGCGACATTTTACTTCTGGTAGAAGACCGGCTTTGGGAAGTTTACGATCTACGACGCCGTTAGCTCGACTTTGCTATAGTCAATGATTTTGCCACTCAATATATCATGCATAGCTACGTGCAGATAAAATGCGATCCCATAAACGCTCTCCCAGACAAAACCAACAAAGTTCAATTATGAAAGAGGGGGTCGGAATTCCTTTTGTTTAACGGCAGTCAATCATGCAAAGTGGAAGATTGTTTTCAGTTATTGATTGTGGAGTTCTAGAAACATGACTCGTTATAGCATTATGTGTAAAACTTGAAAGCATTTGCGGCAAGAATGACAGTTAAATGTTTCGCCAGTTATGCGAGTTATGTGGAACAAAAACAGCAAAATAAAAGGTTAACTTAATTGTTACCGATCACCTTTCTTAATGTTGAGTGTTCTCATTTGTGCATCTGTCTACATTGTGTTCAGGAATTTGCTGATTTAATATGTTCTGATGTGGAAGATGGAAATACCTTAGGTAAGCTGAGATTTGAAGTCTTTTAACATTAGAAAACGAAACATTAGCAGTTCCAAAACAAACTACGCATCATGCATTTAGTGTGGAGGTACCATGCCAGTTGAAAAGAGCCTATGGAAGTATTCATAAATAGCTTAAAAAGTTTTACGCCTTGAATAATCTGCAAGAATACATGTATCCCTGATAAATTCCTGATTTGGGTAGTGACCTTCTCCAAATCCTGTAATACATACTCTATATAATCTAAACCAAATTCGGAGTTTACCGAGGAAACTGGGACGGTTAGTGTACAGTCATGTGACATCAGGCTGACACAGATTATCAGCTCAAGGTTCAACTGAGAGCGTTAACAAACGTAAATTGGTTTAAG